AAAATGTACTGAGGCAAGTACCGCCTCGTTTGTCTCATTGGCGGCGCTGGAAAGGTTACTCAATTAATTTAATTTTGCCGTTAATCGTCGTGAAACAGTGAACAATCTATCTTGGGGCACCGTATGAGTGCATGATCGTACAATTTTCAGTTTTTTTTCAAGTGTACATCGATATCTATCTATGTATCTATCCATCGATTTTCTGCTATTTTCACTTCTTTGAAAATATATCTGAATCTGTCATAATTTTAAAGACATGTACGAAGTAGAAATTGCCAGCAGAAAGCAATGATGCAAAATAGAAATTGAACAAAATGACTGCACCATATACCTTACCACTAATARGCCTTCCATCTTGGAATTTGGAGAAATTATGGTGTCAAGTGAGCGACGGCACCCATTCTTGTATAGAATAAATTTCGTTCAAATTAGAGGTAACATTAGAATTAAAAGTAACATGAAATGAGTTTTCATATAACATCCTATTGTGAAAATTCAACACATTTTACGAAACAACATTTTCAGGAATACCTAGGCATTCTTACAGAGATTTTTATTTTCATAATAATCTAATCCATTTGACATTTTTTTAAATTCAATCAGATACTGTTTTCATATAAATCMTAGCCATATTTCATCCATAATTCTATCTTCATCAGTATTTATATTAAAGCTTATAGCGCAATGTTTATTAGTTTCTGGATCTTGGTATGAATAAGAATTGGTTTTTATAAACACGTGAAAAAACTACAGTCGTGGTGTACGAAAGGACGAGTCAAAATACCGGCACCGCAATTGATCGATCCCGATTCATTGTCCTACCTCCCTAGTCTAGTTACTGTTGCTAAGTCGGACAAGCCGAAAATATTCCTTTGATATAGAGCATAGAAAAGATACCGTTTGCTGCGATATGTATGAACTTTCTTGTGTTAATTTTTTTTTAAATTTTTATCAGGAAAGGCTTAATGAATTTAGTAAAAATATTCGATTTTGTGTTTGTTGCTCGGGCAGTTTCAATTCCACTGGGAAAACTGCTCATTGTTTGATGATTAATCTAGGCGAAGAAGGGATCGGTGAATTCCCGGGCCGTGGAATTCCCGATGTTTTATCAYCATCAATTCACGTAGAGGCGTGCGACCAAATGATCTTTACAACAGTCTTTTGTCTCTAAAATGCCCCTGAGAACAATACCTACAGTTTTTTCTGGGGAGGGAGTGCTTTTAAGTGTAGTAAATTATAAATACTAAGATGAAAGCCTAAGAACAATTGCACTAAAACGGCGTTGAAGTCTATTGCACGGGTTTATGAAAACCACGGCAATATGTCATCATATATGCTGATTCAATGTTTAATATTACATCTATGAACCATCGGGAACCATCAATTACATGAAGATATAAATTCCATCATTAGTTTGGCGGTCTTCCACGGTCTTTCCAACGATAAGGCATGGCCACACCTATCCAATATGTGCACTTGAGAATTCTTTAACTTTTCTTTCATCACATTGACGGATGAAACATGGATGATCTGAAGACAGTTAAAAACAAATATGAACTACTCATGAATACCTCTTTGACCATTTGAAGGTACAGGCTGGGAAGCAATATGCGCAAACAGAGTTTCAAGTATGGGAAGTTGTAACATCCAAGAGCCGGTCCTCATTTACAGATTTAGGACC